GCAGGACATTTGAATTTTATTCGTAAATGCTGCTTTGTGATTATTTGAAAACGTAGCGGACACGAATCATCTGTGACGGAGAACACGGCAGCTTTTCTTCATTTATCAGATATTTTTGCTCCTCCAGCTTCGGTTCAGAAAACGAACTAAGAGCGAAGCCATTAAACTTCCTCCTCCGTCAGTCGCTCCTGATGGATTAGACAGCTAAAAACTAATATCTGTATTTAAATAAACCTTGGAGTTCATGAGGACACCGCCCGGGGGGGGAAAGGTTCGGGGGTCAAAGGTCAATTTGTGACACGCCGTATTTTAGAGCGGAGAAGTGGTCTTTGACAGCCAGCGGTACCGGTTTAGCTCGTGTTTATTTTGCGAGGTGCCTGTGATGAGGAGCAGCGCAGCAGATCATACAGAGCGAGAGACGCGAGACGCAAGCGAGCGAAGAGAAAACCTGAAGAGGATTCGACCAGGAGCGAAGGACGCAGCGTCTGCTCATCCTTAATTCTCACTTCTTTTCTCCCTAAACACAAATACGAATGAACACGACGAAAACGTTGATCTGTGCGGAGAAAGATGAGAATTTCAAAAATGTTTTCTTTACATTTCTCGTTGCAATTTCAAGCCACATTGGGGAAAACGCTCATTATGACCTTATATGGAACACAAAGCCACAAGCGATGACTCCTGTTACAGGGGATGTATATCGGGTGTCATTTTTCTCTTCTTTTCATGAATACCCATCAAAAATATGTTGTAGTTTTTTGCATTTTTTTTTTTTTTTTTTTTTAATTTGCACTCTTATTTTGCTGCTATGAGTTGGGACTCCTCTAAAGTAAGGTGTGAGTATCTGAACATCTCCTAATGCCAAACCGCCACGTCTTTGATCAGTACCGCAGAGCCATAATACTGTTGTGTGTTTACATAAGCATGAGTCGGTAAATGTAACTGGTCAATAAAAATGATAAAACATAAAGCCACTATGGGAAACAAATGTCTCAAAATCTTGCGTACAAGAGGATGATTGCCAGCGCTAAGACCCTCCTCCTGGCTCTGATTGGCTGATTCCTGTGCATTTCTGCAGCTGGGCAGAGGAATTTGGTTCTTTGTCACATATTATCTGTCTCGTATCTTACTGTCAGGACGTAGAGACAGTTTTAACAAATGCGTAAAATAAAAAAAACAAATTAGCTATTCTGTCTGCTTAGAGACAAAACTGACCTCAGAGAGTGAAGCTTTGAGGCCTTCAGGTGGCAGCGAGGCTCATCTGAGAGAGATAACGTCCAGCGTAGTGACATAATGATGCGGATCGGGAAACAGGAACTCCAGAATCAGCAGCTGTGGGTCACGAGAAACTTTCCGAAGAACGACTAAAGCATCCATCTTAATATCTCCAAAGGAAGAAGGTTTAGAGGGATTAAAGGTGCTGTTAGAAGACGACATCACGGCAATCTGTAATCTGCACAAGATGAGACTTACAAGCTGCCAGCAAGGCTCACACACGCTCAGCGATCGTTTTCCAGTTCTTATCGTGAACAAATTGATGCCTTATCTGCAGCCCCGGCGACAAAACAACACAGTAATGCAACAAGAAGGGGCCATGTTTGATTCAGTTAAGGGCGTAATGCGGTAAAGGAAAGCAGAAGGGCTCATTTCATTAGAAGGCGATCTCGCAGCAAGAACGGGCTGCACTGTAAGCTCAGTCACATGCAGCCTTTCCCATGTGCTAATAAAGGTGAACAGCAGCCTCCAGGCAAGAGGGAGCTGGGTGAGTTGGTTCAGAGCAGACCTGCTGTGCCGTCCTAGAATGGCTTTTTTTCATTTAGATAAATGGAACAAAAACATCAGACTAAAGTGCAAAGACCAAAGCAAATAGCCACTCTGGGAATAGCTGGGAGAGAAAGAGTTTAAAGTATTCCTCAAGTCCAAAAGCTTGACAACTGTAATACTTTAAAGGCACGGAAAAGTAAGAAGCAAATGGTTCCAGACTTCAACGGAGCGCGTCGTATTTTTCACACAGGATGTTTTCAAATTGGACAGACCAGCAGTGGACGATCGCTAGTTTGCACCAAAGGTCTGATCGTGATTTATACAGAAGCGTGCACCTGTCCTCAAACGACGAGAAATACGAAATGAGGCTGAACTTCCCATACGCACATCGATCAAAGTCATGGGAGGAATTTTAGTTGAGAAAGATTTGGTTGTGCGCACATAAAGCAGTTTCAAATTTAACTAACTCAACTGGCTCAGTGAAGACAAATCCAGCTGTTTGGAAATATTACATTTCATAGAGAAGCACTGAGATATATATATATATATATATATATATATTTTTTTTTTTTTCTTTTTTGAAAGACAACACTTTAAAAACAATACATTTGTCCAATTTAGAAAAGCAAAATAGAAAATAACTAAATGTATTAACTAATAGAGACAGGACACCCTGAAAAGGTCACCAATCCATCACAATAAAATGTATGATTGAAGATTTTGTGCTAGTTTTTTGAGTAAATACCAGGATACCTTGTTATCATATCCTGAAAATTTCATAACGGCCCAAACATACCTACAACTTTAAATCCCAAAACCCTTTGCACACTTGTCCAACACATATCATCCCGATATTGTGCGTTTTTTTTTTTTTTCCCAACATTTGCTGCATTAGCATCACTGACATGGTTTTGTGGCCATTCATTTAAGGAATCACAACTCCATCCACACACACACGCACACACACACACACACACACACACACGCACTTGAACAAATCCAGTCAGACAACAACTCGTAAAGGGGGGTAAATACACCCATGCCGTTGGACTGAAAGTCTTTAATAACCAAAAAAATTCTCCATACAAAAGAATATGTACATTTGTTTAACTGAATAGCAGTTTATGGAAATGATATAACATTGTTCCTTTTTTTTTCTCTCAATGCTTCCAGTCTCCACCTTACAGAATCTAAAACTTTTCATGGCTGAAGGCGGCGGGTCCATCTTTGTCGTGGGAGATTATTCAGAGGGACTATCCGGGTCCGGCGCCCCACGTTGGATATCAGTCTAAGGAGTTAACAATATTCATGTGCCACATTCAATATTATCAGGAAATAAATCTATGCATCAGTTTACATTTCACATATATTTGTAGAGACATAAATAAAGCAATAATTGAATACCAGTGCAGGAAAGCATTCAGAACAGGGAGACACAGGACTCGATCACAGACAGCAGGATTTTGTTAAAAAAAAACAACAACAACAACAACAACAAAAAAACAGACAGGAGCCTGAGAGGGACATTCCAGAACACAGGATTACATTTAATCAACCAAATGTAAACGTCAGCGGACCGGATGTTAAGAATGGAATTCTTTGTCGGAGAGTTCATAAAAATAAATCAACAACAAAGGTGGATGAAAGAAATAATCAATTGCACCGTTTCCCTGCCATTCGCTGTGAGGTCCCGCCGTCCACCTGTGAAATTCACGTTTAAAGCCTGAAGGAAAAACCGAGCGTGTGCAGAGGATCGGGGCGGGGATCGGCGAGACGTCTCCGCAGCCAGCCGCCCAGTCGCTGCTTCCACCTCACTGTGCAACAGCAGAAATCCTGCTGTGACCGAAAGCTCATTGGTGGGAGCGTCCCAACTGCGCACGCGTGACCATCTGCATGCTGATGACTGTCTGACGCTTGCTTATGTCAGAGTCCGAAAGCTCCCTGCTGCACACATCCAGTGACATGCACCCTGAATGGAGCTGGGAAATCATCGTGTTCGTCAACGGTGGAAGTGCTGGGACAGTAAGCTGGGAATGAAGACAATGTGCTGAAGATGCTCTCTGGTTGCAGCAGAAAATGGATTTTTAACTGAGGTTGTACAGGGCTGTAATGGTAATAATAGCCAGTAAAGATACACCGATAAGACGACTCTGGTCAGTTTCCAGTTTCAGGTTTTTGTAAGGCTTTTCTTGCTAATAACGCTCAGATCTATAATGGAAAGCATTCTACTGACATCCAACCCAGTGGGCTGACATCTGAAACACCAATGGGATGACTGGGTTTATTCCTGACCTTAGAGAGTTACAAAAGTAGCACTTTACACTCAGCCTTCCTGTTATATGGTGAAAGCTTTGCTCTCTCTTTCTCTCTCTCGCAGCCTGAGTCGACCCCAGCACTGCAAAAACTATCTTGGTACACTTAAAATGAATCAAAACTATCTCACAAGTAACTGTTCAGCAAGACATAGGAGCTTGTTTTAAGTAAATTCATTAATATGGATGAAAAAAGGACAACTTCCACCAGCAGATTAATTCACTTATAACATTGGAAAATGTCTTGGCATCAGTGAAGCGAGTAGTTTTTTTTTTTTTTTTATTACCAATATTAAGGAATTACTTAAAACAAGCTCCTACATCTTGCTAAAAAGTTGCTCATATGTTGGCTTTGTCTTATTTCAAGTGTCAAAAGATACATTTGTTTCGACATGCTCCAACATGTCACAGAAAACACAGATTTCTTTCAAAACTTAAATCTGCTTCTCCCAACTTCATCTTAAACACCTCAGTGACACTAAATCTAGCAAACTTTCAATCTTCTTCTCACAGCAGGAACTTCCACACTGAAGAGTTTGGGTCAAGTTTGTAATTGGACGACTGGCAACCAATGTATAGATTCTGTTTCTCTTTGCATCTCTACTGGAAAACTAGATGAGAGTGGAAATGTCGCCTGAGTGGTCCCACGTAAAGTCTCGCGTAATTGTTGAATTCATAAACGGATGTCAAACTTGTTAATTGAAACACCCGATGAGCTGTTTTGGGCCATTTTTTATACAGCTGTGTAGCTGCTGGAATCAAAACAAAAGCACTTTCTGTCCCAGGACTTTCATTTGACTTTTCTAACTGGAAAGATTACTGGGGGGAAATGTCATTAATAAGTGCAAATCGGTTCATCCGGGAACAGCTGCTGCTCAGAACCACACTCCAGTCTATTCAGTTCATCTCCCTGCCTTGTATCTGTTCAGACGATGTGCAAGTTTTACCAAGACTCCCTGTGGCCTTCTGCCCTTCTCCTCCCCTCCCAAATCTCATTTGTCAGAGTTCTTGCGCGGCCGGCGGAAGCTGGACATGTTCTCGTTTAGTGCATAGATGCGCCTGTTGAACTCCTCGAAGCCTGCCACGTCCAGCTCGCCCAGCACCTGTTCGTCGCACTCCACGGCTACCGCGTGGTCCACAGGAATGCAGTGGTAGTCGTCCAGCCGGGCCTCATCTGTTAAACCCAGCCCCACCCCTAAGCCCAGCCCCGTGGCCTCTGTGCCCATGATCTCCTCAGCTTGCTCCACGGAGCAGTGCAACTCCGGGACGAGGCCTAACAGCGCCTGACCTGTTGCCAGGGAGCCGTTCATTGCGCCTGTATGGTTACTGGAAACAATTTCCTCTCCAGCTTCCTGCACTGCGGAGGAACTGGATGCCCCTGCGCTACTGGCCGGCCGTTCCTCAGATTCTTTTTGTTTATCTGCTTCCCACCCTACGCCAGCGGTTTTATTTTTCTCCTCTACCTCTCTGGGCCCAGCCTGCTGCTCCCCCTCCTCCTCCTCCTCCTCCTCCTCCTCTTCCTCCTCCGCCTTGTTGGCCGTGCTGGCGTCAAGCGACGAGGACACATGCTTTGGTGCCGGTGAAGGTGGTGTCAGGTTAGCTGGAGGCCGCTCTTCCCCTGCGGCTGCCTTGTTGTTTGGGGAAGGCGTTGGCTTGTACTTGAGCTGCGCCTCGGCCTCCGAGCTCGCCCTCTTCCTCGGGCCTTGGTCCGGAGAACTGTTGTGGTGAGGGTAGCCCGTTTCTGAGGCGGCGGACACGCCCAGCTGCGACTTGGAGGGCACTGGAATCGAGCTGGAGACGTGATGTCGGTCGCTGCAAGGAGCAAAGAAAGAAAATACGATAAAACCGTGGAAATAATGCTTCTGTGGACGGTAGAAAAGTCCATATACGGTTCAGTACTTCAGTATCTACATCCTAGCACAACACACTCAGCCCCCTTTACTCCAACACCCCTAAAAAGAATCTACTTTGACGTCGACCTGACTTTGTGGCAAGTTGGAGATTCTGTGTGTGTCTGGGCAGAGAAAAGTTAGTTATAAATAGAACAATTTCGACATATTTTCATAACATTGGTTTCATGTGTTTTTGCATGGCTAAACCCACTGCTTCAATAAAGAGTTGCTGACGGCATCTTGTTCTATTTCTGCATTTTGGCTTGTGTTTAAAGCTGAAGTATAACTTTTATAAAAAGCAAAATGTTTTTTTTTTTTTTACATTTTTGTTAAAATTATCAATATGTCTCGATAGTATAAGAAAGATAATCTGAAAAAAAAGTCTAACTCCTCTGCTTTCTCCAAGTGCTAACTGGAGAAATACGCCACTAAGAAACAACCAATCAGAGCCGGGGGGAGGGTCTTAGCGCTGTCAATCATTCATGTAAATGCTGCTCACGCCCTTCCCTGGCTGTACCAACAGCAGACCACGTCACGAATGCTAAGGCTAGTTAGCATGGCCATTGCTGATGGTGGATAAAACCTCTTGGCTCTGATTGGTTGTTTCTGACCAGGAGCTGAGTACTTCTTCAGACCGCAACAGTAGCATCAGGAGGAAGTGGAGGAGCTTGATTGTTTTCAGGTAGGGATACCTTCGTAAGGCACTGAACGTTTAAGGTAACCAGCTGGCAGAAGAAAGTGAGATTTCCAGAGAGAGCCGATGCTTATCAGCACCTCGGCAGCGCGGCTCCCAGCTACTTTGCTTCTAATCCAGGGGGCAGCTGCGGCTCTTTGTAAATCACTCCACTTTACAGCATTCAGAAAGCATTTTTGCAGCCTCTGAGGCTTTACTCATGTTCTCTCGAACTGGAAGAGCGCAGCAGGCGTCCACCAAAGTATGTCAGATATTTTCTTCTAAAACAGATAACAGGCTGGAGATGTGGGACACCCCGCCCAGCCCCCAGACTGGAGTCATAAATCTATCTAAATGGGGGCCTCACTGGCTCTCCTAATAGCCAAGGCCACGCACAATTCTCTGGTCTACTTAAGTGCTGTCTTCAATGTGACTCCATGCCACGTTACACGCTCACATGTGTCGGTTAAAAGGCTTGAGGACGGGCCTCTGCTTGTTCAGTTGGACGTCTTGTCATAACAGATAAGTCTCCTGTCACCTGACATTTACCGAGGAAGAGCAGCTCGCCGACATCGAGAGCGCACGCTTTCAAGGTCGGCCGGTCGGCCGTCTGACGGACGCTTTTACTACCAAACGCGTGACGGCTTGTCAAACGGACCCCGAGCCCGACCCCCGCAGACACCCTGCTGAGGTGGTCCCGACCGGGTTCACAGGCAGGACGTCCAGCCCAAGACAGGAGACGCCTGTCTCGTGTTAAGAGAAACCAGTCAACTTCAAAGTGGGTGTGTTGCAGTGAAATCAGAACCATCCGTAGAGTAAGGTTGCAGCGTGGCTGCGGAGCGAGGATGCAGCGAGGCATGGCTGACTGATGGGAAGGAAGCAGACAAACATGCTGAGAAAGGTTCACCAGAGTCGGTGAGAGGGATCGTCTGTGCGGACGGGCATTTCAGCAAAAACACGACGTACAGCGCAAATCATTCGCCTACAGAGAGAGAGGCTTCAGTGCTCCTGCAAAAATAGTTAAAATGGAAAAAGAGTCTCTAGAGACACAAGACACCAAGGCTGAAAAGAAAATGTAAAAAGATTTGTGCTGAAAATAATCATTCAAACCATATTTAGCCCTCTAAAGACTACCCTAAACATTGAAACTTTGTTTATTGGAAAATGAAGGCAAACACAGATTGGCTGTACCTCCAAGAGCCGAAATAAAGATAACCACAGATATTAGCTCCTGCAGAAGTGTCGAGACAGTTTTCACTGAGCATCCATTCATTTCCCCCCAGAATTTGGCACAGCTGAGTGGTTGCCCTGGGAGATTATAGGATTTCTCAAACCTTTTATGAAAGAATCAAAAACATTCTCCAGCTATGTTTTTGATGAGGGAATAACTTTATAAAATGACATAAAGATCAAAAAAGATGATTTCACATAACACTGCCCCTTTAAAAACAGAATCAAAATGTATCACGAAAACTCGACTGTGCCGCTCTGGGCGGCGAGCCATCTTTACTCGCATGAATACCGGACACTGATAGTAGCGCCGCGTGCTGCAGGCGAGCTGCATTATTCCCTTCCACTCCACGTGTCAATCTGAGAAGCGGTGAATGAGTAAGTGAGAAGACTGGGTGTGTCTGCGAGGACCTGAGCCAGACAGATCTCTGGCCGGCCATAACATCTGCTGTTTCAAACCAGTTCAACGGTTATCCGGACGTCATGTCTTGCTTGAGTGTGGCTAATTAGGCTACATGCGCAGGATAACAGTCCGCGTTTGTGCAGATTAGGAGAGATGGAAACGCGGAACAATGCCAAACAGTTCCTCAGGGTCGGGTAACTGTGATTCTTGGTCTGCTGTGTGACGGTTCAAGTATCGCCGTTTCCTTTCTACAAGTAAGAACTGCTTACACAAGCATCTCCTTGGATAAATGAATAACTCAGGAGGTCAAACACATTTTTTAAAGAAGGAATGTTAAAAATTTTAGAGACAGGAAGTGGATCAACAACTTATCAAACATTCAAGCACTCCCTTGAATCGATCCTTTTGTAATTTGCCCTAAATTGAAAGAAGGAAAAAGTCGACCCTCTTCAGCAGCATTATGGAAGATTTATTGAAATATTGCTCCAAAACTGCACACCAGAACTTGTTCTGTGCAACTTTTATATCTGTAAGAAACTGAAGAAGCAACGCAAAATCATCATAAACTGGAAAAAAGTTCTGCTGGTTTAATATGATTTAGTAACAGGTTAAAGTCTCTAGGAGTGTCAGTCTGTGTGGTGCATATCTGAGCAATAGTTAGATGGGCCACAAGATTCCTACGCCTAATTCATCACAGAAAATATCACACCAACTACAAATGTGCGCAAAACTGTCAATATTCAAAAAAATCCCAATTTCACAATCGCGGTTTTGCCATTAAATAAGAAACGCAATCAAAAACACGCGAGTTAAGTTTGTTCACGCAATGTGTCAATAAAAAAAAAAAAAAACATGCCACACTGTCATCATCCAGCTACTTCTTATCGTCGTTGTCTTCAATGTTTGTTGACCACGTGACTCGCGTGATGCAAAAAAAAGTGGCTCCATTGCAGTTTTGCGAAATAAATCAACCTCGATACGGTCAAAAGTATTTTTTTAAACGTCAAATTGCACAATCATGCGGTCAGTAGAAACGCAGCTACTGAAGCAAGCGCAGCCTCGATTCCCTTTATCCTGCTCTCCTCCTTTCCTGCCGATGTAAAACATTTCAAGAGGAAACAAGAATTTGGTAAGCCAAGCCGTTCCAGGGGCCAACCCACCCTCGACGGGTTCCACAGCACGTCCCCCTGTTCATGTCTGAATCCCGCTAAGAGCCAAACGCCGGGGCCAAAGCAAACAAGAACAGATAAGATTTGGTCCTTTGAAGTGTCCTGGTGATGTCCCTGCAGTGCTACAACAAAAAGCATGTTATGGTTTCATCTGCACTGCGGTGGGAGCTAGTTTTGGTTTTTTGCTCTAACAGCGCAACGATTACTGACTGTCAGGCCTTTGAAGACGGGGAATAACCACACGGCACATCAGGCGTTGCGATTCAACCATCTGCTTTTTGGATTCGGACGCCGCCTCGGAGCTTTAAAAGAGCTACAGTTGCACACAGACAAAGAAGAGTAAAAAACTATCATGAGAGCAATTCAACTCTTGGCTTAGTGAAGCAATGAAAATTGTAATGTTACCATAGTATGCCCTGGTGTCCAGAGAGTTAATGTACCATCACAGTGATCCAGGACAGAGAAAAAGAAACATTCCTGGTTTCGCCCTTTAAGTCAGCCATTATTAGGAATACAGAAAATGCACAGCCACCTGTCAGGCTCAATGAACCTTGCAAATTGTTTATTTAATATTTATATACATTTCACCTTTATATTTGTCTCAGAGCAAGGTGCAGCTGTCCACATATATCAGGTGTTGAATCAGCACCTTTCCTCTGCTGCCGTGTAAACAAAGAGTCGCTCAGGGAAACGCGGCGGATCTGAGGACGCCGAGAACCTCCAGAAAACTCTCGGTGGATTCGGAGCATGTTGAAGCTCTTGGCTTTGATCTTGGAGACTGCGCGTTTTCACAAGCAAAGCTGTTTTCTGGTACCGTCCCCGTCTGCCTCGGGGTAATAGATTCACCATCTTTCCGCTGGTTCTCATCGTGTTCTGCCCGTTCTTTTTGACTGCACCGAGAGTCTCTCTCTCTTTTGCCAGGTTATCTGTTTTTTGGGGCAACGCGGTTTGGAAATGTATAAAGATAATATCAAAAACTTGCCAGAGGAGAGTTAAAAAAATAAACTTTTGAGCTTTGCCTTCCATCAAAAACCGTCTCACTTGATTTGCGCACAATATTCAAGATGATCCCAGCTCACTATCAGTGTTCGTCTCGGTGTGTTAAACAGGAATCTCCCTGCAGAAAGGATGCATGCTGAAATACTTAGAAATACAGGGTTGGCTCTGTTTCCAACCTGCTTTGGAAGCAGCTTCCTCTCTCCCTTGTGGGATCCTCCTTGTTTGGATGCGTGGAAAGAAGAAAAAGGTGGCACAGAGGCAAAGGAAGCAGATTATACCGTCTGTCACAGTCTAAGGGAAAAATTACCTGCAGCTGCCATTTAGTCTTTCTATTCATCCATATTTCATAAGATGGTCCCAAAGCGAGATACTGTATCTGAATTTATTCTCCCCCCCACCCCCAAACCAAACCACTAGAGTTTATATGGAAAGGAAACAGTGCAAGG